CCAGCAGGATATGCTCAGGATCCTTTTGAAGGAATAAAAGACTTTGATGTTGATGACCTCACACCTGACCTTGCACTCCCGTGAATTATTATTTACATAAAGTGGCTTCAATCACTACTTTCTTCAAAAAAGAAAGAAAAGCTGACCACTCTGTGTAAAACATAATATCACCAGTCTGCATAGGATCCCCTTTCCCTAAAAGCAGGATTCTCACAGACAGAAGCAGGACCCACAGATTTGCTTTTCCACCGAAAGTAAGATGCCTCTGACAAGTAGGGCCCTCTAGTCCCTTCAGGTTGACTACTTTCCACCGAAAGCAAAGATTCTTCAGACAGCCAGGACCCCTAGTCCACTCTGCCTGTCCTTTTTAAAAGAATCTTATCTTACTTTCTAGCCCAAAAGTAGCCGAAAGTAATGAAAGAAACTTTTAAAGAATTTGAAGACTCAGTTGAAGTCCGGAAGCCCCTTTCCCTATATAAGGCAGCCTCCTCTTCTCTGTTAATCAAGCTTTGAAAACATCAGACCCCTTCTAGTCTGGATTTTCAGAGATCATTACAAACCCTCTAGTTTTGTAATCATACCTATTACTTGTAAGCCTTCTTCATGATGCAAAAGAAGTGCTGCACCACTATTACCGCTTATTTCCACTAGACCATTAGTTCTAGTGTTGTAAGTGTTTATTTTCTTTAATTGAATATTTTATTTTCATATCTGTTCCATATTCTTCTTTATTCCTCTGTATATATATATATATATATATATATATATATAGGGCCCATTAAAAACTCTCTCTTAGGGCCTCCATTTACGTCGCACAGGCATGAACCCAACCGTTAGGGTTGTCCATGGGCCAAGCTAGGCTTTTGAAAGCTTTTTTGGGCTGGGTCTGTGTAGTGTAAACTCAAGCCCTTACTTGGGTGAGTTATCAAGAAAGTCAAGGCGAGATTCAGGTAGAGATAAGTTACACGCAACCCAACTTGTCACTCATTGGGCGAACCTTTTTTTTATATGTATCTTCATTTAAAATGTTTTGAATTTAGGTTTTTTTGTAAATTATATTTTTAAATTAAAAGTAGAGTCAAAATAGATAAAAAAAAAATAAATAATGAATAATATCCTAAATTACTCAACTTAGTATTTAAGTAAATAATTTTTTTTTAGAGCAACATGCCACATAACTTTCAATGGTCAGTATTTTTTTGCAGGTGGGCTAATGGGGTTGGAGGCAAACCAAAGTCTTCTCTTGAAGGATATTGGGCTCTAGTTTGAGAGGGTCAACGATCAAGTTTCAGATCTATTTTTTTGGATTAAGTAACGGATCCCATGGGCCAGCCCAACACATAGACACCCCTACCACCCATGATATTTACGCCTGTGGCATTTTGTTGACGGAGACATTTACAAGGAGAAAATCCTTTGTGAAAAGTATGGTGGAGATTTGAACCTCGAGCAGTGGATGAATGATTTGCTACCAAATTCCATAATCAAAGTTATAGATGCCAACTTTGTAAGGTCAGAGATTTGAGGCTGGATGAATGATTTGCTACTCATCCCAAATGTAAACATCCAGATCACTTTGGCTGGAAAAGAAGAAACCACTCCATTAGAGTCGAATTGTTTTCAAAATGGGTGCTATTTGGTCAAACTTATCAAACTTGATAAGTATGAACTTAGCTCAATAATCGACATTGAGAATTATTATCCCTTAATCCAATTGTGGTATTAGATTAAGTCCCCATGCCAGATTAAGTCCCCATCTATCTAAAAGCAAAAGCATGTGCATGGTGTGGGCAAGGCAAGTCACCATACATGCTGAAAGTGAAAATTCATTCTTAGTCCTTTCATCCCACCATCCAAACTAATTACAAAATTATGACATTTTAAAGCAATAAACAACATGCATGCTTGAGCTAACTCTTGTTTACGCTGAACATGTATTACATTACTAACTATAGTGAAACACTAAATGTGCGCGATGATTCTTGCACAATGAGCAAAATAATAGATCCCCCCTAATGAACTCAAGATTTGCTTGGAAAGTCGAATATCCCACTAGGAGTTGAATTTTAGAACGGAGGTAGAACTCTTTTATGCACGATCTGTTCACTCGTAGACTTTGAACGGAGTCCTGTCACTCAAATAGAAGGGTTAGAAGGTGTAAGAGCGTTTTCCGGCGTGACCACTTTGACGGTTAAGTCAGTGTTTGAGAGAGGATTGGAAAAGTACTATTCTATTGCTTGGGTCAAGGTTTGCATATCTTAGACTTAGGTTTTTATAGTGTTATTTATACCTCTTTAGGAGCTAATCATTGCGGACGGCTGGGTCCTTTGGAGGGAAGGCTCCCCATTGGCTCGCCCTTTTCTCGAGGTAGAAGTTTCTACCTTTAATGCTTGGATCCCCAAGCATTTAATGCTCGTTTTTCTGACTTTGTCGAATAATAAATATGTTTCATCATTTTGCTGGGTCATTGAATGAGCCTTGGTTGTGGCTGCGCACGTGCTGGGGCATCTTTGTCAATTACCCCCCAAGAGATCAAGACTTCAATGATTTGTACTTCGTGCACCCTTATTATTGGTTATTGAACTGTCTTTCCTGCCATTCTAATTGCCTTGGAAAGGAGGAATAACAATTGACAGCTAACTCTGTTTCCAAGTCTTGATAATTATCAAAACAACTATTGACACATCAACGACGTGGAAGCCTTTGCACCGAGCACACGTGTCAAGCAACTGGGGCTCCATGGACCTAAGTGCCAAGGACACACATATAAAACAGGGAATGCTCTAGGGGACCTAAATACCGAGGACACGCGTTGAGCGAGCAACGCCTCAGGATTCATACATGTCGACGACACACGTCAGTCACAAGGAATTCATAGGGTACTCACGCCAAGTACACGTGTCACTCCATGGAGGCTCCAAGGTCACTATGCCGAGGACACGTGTCGTCTCCCCATCAATCTTCGAATATGTCCAATCACTAAATATCATATTACTATAGTTAATCAAGAGTCGAATACTCCTTAATCGAGAATGAAATACTAATTTTTCAATTATAAATATTACTGTCCAAATGGGACTACAAGTTCACAGCTACCAGACATTTTTCAGCTTATACAGACTAATTCTTGAGGTTAGAATCACTTTCATATTATGAATGTAGGTGCCATTCATGGGAATTTTGAAAAAAGGGAGGAAAAGAGGAGTGGGGTTGGGGAGGAAGCAGACTTCTTTGCAAAAAAAGTTTGTAAGAGTGTTAGGCACGACCAAATACCAAATTTGACTCCCTTTTCTTATATATTTCAATTATAAATATCTTCCCACCACCACCACTATCCCCATCTATGCAATAAAGTATTTCAGAAAAATGCTTTTTACCCAAAAAAAAATATTAATTAAAGTCATTTTTGACTAGGACCCTCACCAGATCTCATGAAACGCACAAATTCAAATTGAGATTTTTTCAAATCCAAACAATTTCATAAGTTTCAATTGTGACTTTGATTTTTTCATATATTGACAAAAAAAATTACCTTGTATTTTATTGCACTGTGACCTTAATTTATTTATATTAACAAAACAACCCCACGATAACTTCCCAGTAAATTCCCAATGATTGTCGGTATCTTAAACCCATGACTAAGGCTCCTAATCTTGTACCCTCGTTGAGTGTTGTAAAAAAAAATAAAAAATAAATAAAAATCAAGCTTCTTCAATTCATAAAATAAAATAAAATAAATAACTAAAGTCAAAATATCTTTCTAAAATCAAGCCCCTTTCCAAAAATAAGTTCATTCTTGAAATCAATCATGAAATAAACATTATTCCACCAATAGTCAAACACTACATATATAATATTACTATAATGATCGAAACCCAAATATCCCTTAATCGAGAATGAAATACTCACTTTTCAATTAAGATTACGGATAATAAAATGAACTTTGAAGTTCACAATTAAGAGAGTTTGAGACATTTTTTGGCTTTTGTACACTAATTCTTGAGGTTAGAATCACGTTTAGGGGTGACACAACGAAATTTGAAAAAAAGGAGGAAAGGGGATTGGGGTGGGGGAGGACGCAGACTTCTTTGATTTGAAATTGGAGCCTTTTTGCCGTGTCTTTGGGGGCAGTCATATAAATATTTCACCAGCACAAAATAGAAGACATCCACAATAAAGCTATTGCTATGGAACTTTTGCCATAAATTTGTGATGAAATTTTATTCATAGGTTTTCAATCCTACAATTAAAACAAAGCCTAAAATCATGTCATTTTGTAAAAAAAATAAATAAATAATAAATAAAGTAGAATAATAATAAGATCGAGAAAAATAAGTAAAGTAGAACAACAATCATGCTTGAGCTGCTTTATTGTTTCTAAGGGACTACGCTAGTTTAAATACTCAAATTTAATTTCGAATATTACTTGGATTGGAGTATCAAATTTCAAGAATCAATCCCAACCCGAACCCCAATCCGGTTTAAATACTTGTGTTCAGCCCAATTTAATGTAAAAGAAAGGTAAATATTGTTGGGCAATTTTTTATTTTTCAACTCTCACAGGGTTTATTTGGTTTTTGTATTAGTGCGTAAAAGTCAACTAAATTTGTTTCAAGATTCCATTATATTAGGTTCATATTATGAAATTTTTGGCTCCACCACTGACTAACATCATCAACTACATATTTGGTAGAAACTACTACAATATTTGATAGTCTTAAACTATTTTTTCTTTAAAGGACTAGATGAAACCTTTTTTAGAAGAAAACAAGTGTGGCCCATTGTGTTTTTTTTATCACCGACTCTTGATAGTGGTGGTGTCATTACTCTGACCAAAATAGTATTCTTGACATGAAGCTTCCTTATGGCATCTCTATAAGTACCTTAGTCACCATCTTTTACCAATCAAGTCTTCTTTGCTGCGTGAGTCCAAACTTAACACCCTCATGAAGAAATTCATTTTTCTCTTTTTTGCCACACTTTTGTGGGCAAATAGTTTCATGGCTTGCTTTGCAAGGACTGAAACAAACTTAGACTCCGATCAATCAACTCTTCTTGCCTTCAAAGCTCAAATCAGGTTTGACCCTCAAAATATTCTGGTAAAAAATTGGTCCACCACCACCCCAGTTTGCAATTGGATTGGCATCTCTTGTGGCGTTCGTCACAAAAGAGTCACAGCCTTGAATCTTCCCAACATGAGTCTTAATGGCACCATTTCTCCATATCTAGGAAATCTCTCATTTCTTGCTTCCCTCAAACTCAGTAACAACACTTTCCACGGCCATGTCCCCGAGGAGTTGGGTCATTTGCGTCGATTGAAGGAAATTGATTTGGGATACAACTCTCTTAGCGGGGAGGTTCCATCATGGTTTGGAATCTTACCAAAACTTGAAGTCTTGATCATGCATTATAATAGTTTCACTGGTGTTATCCCGCCTTCCCTTGGCAACATCACTAGCCTTGTGGTGATGCGGTTATCGGTTAATCATCTACAAGGACATATTCCAAAAGCAATTGGTAACCTTTCCAGCTTGAAGATATTGAGATTGGGAGGTAACCAGCTTTCTGGTTCCGTACAATTCATCTTCAACATGTCTTCATTGGAACAGATTATTCTTACAAAAATAGTTTATCTGGTCCCATCCCAGGAGGTATATGTAGTCAACTACCTGATGTCAAAGAAATCTATCTTAATTCTAATCAGTTTCAAGGTCTTCTCCCATCCAATTGGTACAGATGCGGGAAGCTTCGGATTTTATCATTGCCCTATAACAAATTCACAGGTAGCATACCTAGAGGAATCAGCAACTTGACCATGCTGAAGAGTTTGGATCTTACAGACAACACACTGGAAGGTAATCTCTGCATAATGTGTCATTGTTATTGTAGCATATTCGTGAGTGCTAACAAACAAGGTGTTAGCGATGGCCACAGGCTTGGCCAAACAATTGCATATAAGCTTAGTTGCATATTGTGTTAATTTTTTGACAAAATTCATTATAGTTATTAGATTGATTGTGAGTACCATCAAATATTGAAATTTGGTGATATTACAAAAAGCAATATATGGAAACCAATTGCAGCACCCGAAACAAGGATCTGCCACTTCGAATGTTGAGTCTACCACCGCAGACTCATCAACAAAACATAATAGACTCCCATGTAGTGCTTCCCAAGAATGTGAGATTCCGATAATGGAAACTAACTACATATGATGACAGAATACATAAATAATTTGTTAGCTTTGGTTTAATCTCCAACAATATATACATAATTTGTTAGTATGGTCCACATTTTGCATATTGCAGGTGAAATCCCACATGAGATAGGCTATCTGAACTTGGAGGTAGTATCCATGGCGAAAAATGGACTTGTCGGTCACATACCATCTTCTATTTTCAACACCACTTCTTTAAAGTTCCTTAGTCTTGAAGACAATAACTTGTCTGGGAGTCTACCATGGGATATGTGCTTGGATGCTCCTAAGCTTGAGACAATCTCTCTTTCCTATAACAAGGCAGTTACGGGAGACATTCCCACAAGTATTGGGAACTGTACTTCGCTCATGGTTCTATATCTTGGTGATCTTAATTTGAAAGGTATAATTTTTTATCATTTTCTTAAACATACGTTTAGATTCCTGTTCTTTGTGTAATTAACATTTTTATATTTTTTTGACATTTGATAGTCAATAATATTTAAAAAATACTTACCTGTCTTGAAAATTATATGATTTTTTTATTTATGTGTATAAAAAAATGATACCTAAGTAACTTCTGTTGGATTGATTTAGTTAAAACGTAATTAACACCTATTAAATTTAAATATTAGCTAAAAAAGTAATATTGATGTCGTATTAAATATCACCCTAACCATTAAGGCAAAAAAATATTAATCATACAATTAAATCTTATTTTATTTTTTCTTTCATCATTGAGTGTTTTATAATCTTTTCAAGTCAAGTCAATGACGCGGACCGATTTATTCCAATCAATTACTCTATTAATTTAACTAAGTAATTATGTGATTGGAGCTTTCTAGCATGTTTAAGCAACAAAGCAATCAATAAGCTAAACGGGTATAGTATATACTATATGGGTTATAAAAGATTGGCCTAAACTAGCCCAGGTCACTGGGTTGACCCACTTGGCAACAGTATTCAATTTTTTTTCTTACTTTTCAAAGATTTAATCTGATTGTAAAATGAAATAGACGTTCCTCATATGATTAGGAGTATCATGAATATGGCATTGTTAATTGGTTATAAGTTAATAGCCAAACTTGGTAAGTTTTAAATTTAATTTTGGGCTTCTTTGATTAGTGATAGTTAAATCACGATCTAACAGTACGTATAAAAAGTATATACCTAAAGGTATTGGCCATCAATTCCATATATATATATAACGAGAGAGGAGGTGAGTTTGGTGTCTACATTTAAAATACTCATAATATTTCTCTTCTCTTTTTATCTTAGCTACCCATAATCATAAATAGTTTCTTGTAGTTTATCTCTTATAACCCTCATATCTCTCTCACTTTTCTCTAATCTCACTCTAAAATTGAACACAGGTGACCGTGTGCAGGACCACTAGTGTGTGTGTCTATATATATATATATAAAGAGAGAGAGAGAGAGAGAGAATTGGTAGCATTAACTTACTTTTTCTTTTACATTTTCAGGTGCTATTCCACATGAAATTGGCAATCTTAACAATTTGGTTTATGTAGACATGGGTTTCAACCACCTCAATGGTCCAATTCCAACAGTAATTTTCAACATCACGACACTAGAAATCATATACCTTCAGAACAATCATCTTTCAGACACTCTTCCATCAAGTATGGGCATTTGGCTACCTAATCTTAAAGAAATATATCTTGGATGGAATAATTTGAATGGAATTGTTCCCAACTCCATCTCAAATGCTTCTAGAATCACCAAAATATATTTTGGTTTCAACCAATTCTCTGGTACACTACCCAAATCATTGGGTAGCCTAGAACTCCTTGAAGATCTTGTGTTGCCAGGTAACAACTTTACCAGTGAATCCTCATCTATGGGGTTAACCTTCTTCACTTCTTTGATAAATTGCAGACAACTAAGGGTATTGAGCATATCTGGAAATCCTTTCAATGGCATTCTTCCAGTTTACATTGGCAATCTCTCCACTTCTCTTTATACTCTCCATGCAAGCAATTGTGCAATTAAGGGGAACATTCCTAATGAGATCAGCAATTTAACCAATTTGGCATTCGTGGACCTTGATCACAATGACATAGATGGATTGATTCCGCCGACAATCAAAGAGTTGTGGAAACTTCAAATTTTGCATCTTGAACAAAACAGAATACCAGGATCTATCCCGAGTGGTGTTTGCCATTTAAGGAACCTGGGTTTTCTAGATTTGAGCAAAAATGAGTTTTCTAACTCTATGCCAACATGCTTTGAAAATATTACTTCTGTAAGATACCTCTATCTGGATTCTAATAAATTAACTTCCAGCATACCCACAAGCCTTTGGAGACTCAAAGATCTTTTGGAGTTGAACTTGTCTTCAAATTCTTTAACCGGGTATATATCACCAGAAATTGGAAGGCTTAAGGTGGTGACAAAAATAGATCTCTCGAGGAATCGATTATCAGGTATTGTCCCTAGCACAATTGTAGGCCTACAAGGTCTGTCGTTTCTATCATTAGCACATAACAGATTGCAGGGACCCCTACCTGAGTCACTTGCAAAATTGGTAAGCCTAGAGTTTTTGGATTTATCTCATAACAATATCTCTGGAACAATTCCAAAGTCCTTAGAGGCGCTCTTGCTTCTAAAATACCTCAATGTATCTCACAATAAATTAAGAGGAGAAATTCCAAATGGTGGACCTTTTGCAAACCTCACTTATCAGTCTTTTTTGCCAAATGAAGATTTGTGTGGTCCACCGAGGTTGCTAGTGCCTCTCTGCAAGAGTAGTTCTCTTAAAAGATCAAAGAAGAAAAGAATACTTCTAGCTGCATATATCTCACTGGCAGTTGGATCTACTATTTTGGCCTTGGCCTTGATATTCTTTTTGATCAAACAAAAAAGGAGAAGTCATGTTCCCCATGAAAATGATTTGTTACCTGCAATAACCCATGGAAGAATTTCATACTACGAACTTCGACGTGCAACTCACGAGTTCAGTGAAATCAACTTGCTTGGCAAGGGTGGATTTGGTTCAGTTTACAAAGGAATTTTGACAGATGGGACACATTTGGCTGTAAAAGTTTTCAATCTACAACTGGAAGGTGCATTCAAGTGCTTTGATACAGAATGTGAAGTATTGCGCAACCTTCGCCACCGAAATCTTACCAAAGTTATCAGCAGTTGCTCTAATCTTGATTTCAAAGCAATAGTCCTCGAGTATATGCCCAATGGAAGCCTTGAGAAGTGGTTGTATTCCCATAACTATTTCTTGGACATCTGGCAAAGATTAGATATAATGATAGATGTCGCACATGCATTGGATTATCTCCACCATGGCTACTCGAGTCCTGTGATCCATTGTGACTTAAAGCCCAGCAATGTCATGTTAGATGAACATATGGTTGCACATGTTAGTGATTTTGGCATTGCAAAATTACTGGGTGAGGAGAGTACTGCACTAACCAAGACTCTGGCAACATTAGGGTATATTGCACCAGGTGATGCTTCTACCTTTTTAATTTATACCTTTTTTGCATTTGGATTCTCTTTACAACGTCGGGTTTTTTTTTTTTTGCAATATAGTATCATACAAAGTGTAAAGTTCCTTACAAGCATTATAATTTTGTTGATGAATGTAGAGTATGGATTGGAAGGATTAGTCTCTACAAGGTGTGATGTTTATAGCTATGGCATTATATTGATGGAGACCTTTACAAGGACAAATCCCTGTGATGAAAAGTTCACTGGAGATTTGAGCCTCAAGAATTGGGTGAATGATTGCCCACCAAATGAGATAATCCAAGTTATAGATGCCAACTTAGTAATGCTAGAAGACGAATACTTGACTCTGAAGGTGCAATGTGTATCATCCGTATTGGAATTGGCTTTGAAATGCTCTACAGAATCACCTGAAGAGAGGATTAGCATGAGGGAGGTTGTCGAAGCTCTCCAAAAGATTAGACTTCAATTGCTTGAAAAGTGTGAAAGGCCTTGACACATGAAAGTATTGTTCGACATTATCGTATAATTGCAAAATAATATAACTCTCACTCAAGCCTGAGTCTAGACTTGCAGTAAAAGTTTTATATGCTAACACCTTGATGTTGCCACAAGTTGCAAGGTTTGACATGTGAAAGTTGCAAGGCTTACTACCAAAAATGTGTGTTGTAAGATAATAATTAAGATTTATTGCTCATTTGAAGTGAAGGTCGTAGAAATGTATTTTTGAAGTCTAAAATTGTTGCATGATCTATCAACACATTAATTTTTTAGGTAGTCCATTGTTGTTGATTATTCCTTCCCGAGTGCTTTTGCTATTAATGTTTAGAGGGAGGTGGGTGCGCCACAACACAATCAAAAGGACTTTTAGGAAAAATAACCATTTAGAAAAAGCATAGAGTGGAAGAGAGGATCCTCCATGAAAATAACATGGCTATAGACTCTGGGGAGACAAGCATTTAACATAAGAGGGGGTCATAGCAATTATAACTCGTGTGATTCTCAGCTTCAGAAAGCCATTTCGGAAGGCGATCTCATTATTTTTTATCAGGTCAAAAAAAAATTACTTGTATGTTTATGGCTGCACATAAAAATTTTATGTGATGAGGCCTTGTAAGATAAACCAGAAGAAGTTTATGGTTTTCGCACCACTTGTATGTTTTCTTTATGTTATTTGTTGTATTTTCATTTACTCCATAAACTTTCTCTTGGTATTACATTCTCACAAAAAAAAAAAAAGAATTGTGTACACAAACCTACTCATGTCAAACCTAAAGATCTCACATTACTTTAAGTGGGAAAATAATGACATCCACTTTATTTATATAGTCAAATTGTTGTCGACAGGTGTTAAGCGAATCAAGTTTGTCAACCTTTGATTTTGTTGTCATGCTCGAGCTTTTACCTAGCTAAATAATCAACATTAGAATGTTCCTCAAGCTCAAACTCAGCTTACCAGAAGATTGTGAGCAATTGAGACAAACTCTAGCCCAATTTCCCATTAACATTTTTTTGAAAAATTTGACTTAGTGACTTAATAACCAACACAATGATTATAAAATTTGTAAACAAAATTTTTCAAAATCTAACTAATCAATAATAAAATAAAATCCTAGAAGTTTAATTTTTTTCAAAAAAAAAAATCTGAGAAGACTGCAAGAAAAAAAATGTATATGATCTCGAAGAGGTTTGTGGTTATATATGTCTCGGATTGGAGTTATTTAGCCATAATTATAAATTAGAACCTAATCGAGCCGAGTTTAGCTTACTTTGGTGGGTTAGACATTGCTCAGATTTGACTTATTTGTAAAATGAGCTTACTTGATTCAAGCATCACTTTGTAATTTGAAGGAGCCAAAACTAAGTCCAGGTTGAGCCAAAACAATGGTGAAAACTCTTATCCACCTCAGCAACTGCCTAAGTTTCCATTAAGTTCCTATTGGTAAGAAGTTACCATGAAATTTACACGGAGAGTTTTGTGTAAGACCCATGTATTTATTTAAATTGAATGATAGAATAATAAATATAATACTAAAATAGTTAAAGGGGGGCTAGGAAAGGCCCGCGTAATTTGGTACTTTGCAAGCGATTCTAACCTTTGAGAAAATTAAGATTATGTTCAGGACACATATCCTTTTGAATCCCAATGATATAATCATGTACAAACATATTTCTTGCACTATCTAATGATGCATAAAAGTGGATTTATGCAAGATCAACAGTCAAGTATATGATGCAAAGTAATTAAGGAAGCAATGAACAATAAAAGACAAAGATTCGGTGGTTGGGCCTAGGTGACCAAACCAATGAAGGTGGTGACAGTGACTGGAGAATTTTATTAATAAAATAGAAAGAGAGAGAGAGAGAGAGAGAGAAGGTAAGCTCTAGGTGAGATAGCTATATGGGAGAGATAGTTGTGTCAGAGATGATGTGTTCCTCATGTGTGAAGGACTTACAATTTATAAGTACAGAGCTCTAGTTAAGGCGATGGTCATCGAGGGTGGGTTACTATTTTTTTGGGGAAGATAGCTACAATTAAAGATGGATATAACTAAGAATAGTATTGATCTTCGAGCAGTAGTTATCCCGATAATTACTCCCCATGAACACTGATCTTCTTGGGTCTCTTGAACTTTGGACTGGACGGAATCCATGAGCTACTCTTGATCTGCCTTTTAGCTGGTTTGGGCCTAACTCATCTAAATTTGGGCTTGTCACTATCCATAAAATACAGATAAACTTCTAAGGATCCTAGCAACCTTTCCAATTCAATACCACCAAATATCTTGTGATATAATCAAACCAAAACAAGACTCTTAATGACTCAATTAATTTCCCTCAATTTAACAACATTAGTCGTCATAGTCTTAACGAGTATTCATAATTCCCAACAAAATATTAATGATATGCTAGCTACTATGATAACCTTAGCCTTTTATCCCAAAAACTTTCTTAATTTCCTTTCCATATGTCTCTAAGTTCGTATCTATACCTCGATCTCCCATAAATCATATCTAAACATTGTAACTTTTCAGCCGTATCACGCAGGAGCGCTCAAGCGCCCTATCTTACTTAATAAAAGGGCCTAAAAGCTGCGAAGAAAGTCGAGCTGCTCTAATCGAGCTATGAAATTAGTGTGGTGAGGTATTGGAAGTGTTGAGCGAATTTAGAGGAAAACAGAGCATCATGCTATACTAGCAGGGCTTCAGCAAAATGAGGTAGGTAGCTTTCGCTAATGATAGATGGGCTTGGGGATTAGGTTTCCTAATTAATGGAATTCGTTTTCTCTTGACTTTATTAAAACTGAAATCTCCATTGACTCTATCTAAAAATGGAATCATGGAATTCTCTCCCAGAGTTGCGGAACTAACAACTATATTAGAAAGTAGAATTACCTAATTGCTAAAAGGAAGTGAAGCTTGATTGTCGGGGGGAATCAATGGGAAGGAAAAAAGAAGGTAGATTATTCGATTATATTTTCTCTTTTGGTAAAGATTCGCTTTAAGTGATAGGGGATGTGATTAGAATTCATCATTATCATCGAGACACCCGAAGGGCTAGCCATATGTACCTCGGGAGACCTAGCCCATTCAAATCAAAACAGAACTAATCTCAATCAAACACTATAAGAAGGGATCAACCTTTTTTCAAAGATCCCTTTTTTTTCTTTGGACCCTTCGCGCCATGCCCTCTGTCTCTTTCAATCAATAAAAGTTGGATATGTCTCTAATCTCTATGACTTTGACAGGACAACTACTTTACTTTGTCGATCACTAAGTCAGTCATTCAGTAAGTACAACATTCACTCTAATCAATATGTATAGTCACCAATCTAGTAAATCAGCGGGCAATGCCCGTAACTCAGATAACCCCACTAAGTAAGTCAAGAAAGTGATTCGCTTGGTTGTCAGGTAGGCCTGTCAAAATCCGACATGACACAATTAACCGACATGAATGGACACAAATTAAGCGGGTTCGGGTGGTAAACGGGTTAACCCGTCAGATACGTTTAATAAACGGGTCGTGTTCAAGTGAGACCTGTCAACCCGTTTAAAAAAATAATATAATAATAAAATAATAATTACTTTTAAAAATTAGTCAAAATTAAAATATTATATATAAACATATGGTAAATGAATAAAAAAAATCTTACTTCAGAAAAATTAAGTACAGATTATTCACTTACCCCCTTTATAGTGCTCGACGTGGGAATACATTGTTGATTACTATAGAGACACTTTCTAGAGCTTTCAAATTTCAATCCAAACCCCCCTCCCCCTCTCTCTCTCTCTTTCTCTAGCATTTCTTGTTTCTATATTCTCTTTCTTTGGCTTCTGTAGATGAAAGATGGAGCTTGATCTGAGTTTGGGAGATTCATCAAAACCATTTGAGTTTTTGCCCCAGAATCGAGAGCTTACCACCATCATCAACAATATTGATTGAGGGTTCTGCATGTCTTGGGAATCAACTCAAATCGAAGACTCAAGAGAAAGCACAAGAACCTAGCCATCATGATTCTTCCGAGGATGACGATCGCACATCAGAAGAATCCATTAAAGCACATACAGAAGATGGTGTCGATCAAATGGTCTATCTCTCTCCTCCTGTTCATCTTGATCTACTCCCTTTCGCTTATGTTCCACGTCTAACACCTTCAAATCAACAAACATTTCCTCGGTCCACTGATAATGGTAATCATTTATTTCTAATCTCTACAAATAAGTGGATACATATATTTACATGTAGTGATTGTTCGTCGCCAGTGGAATTGTTATCCATGTGTGTTGTTGATGCACAATGGATAGAATTGAGTCTTTGATTGCGACCCACCTTCAATTTGTTGTTGGTTGGTGTATTTCGACAGTGGGTTTGTAATATATAGTTGTGATTGGTGTTGTGGTTGAGTGGATCTTTGGCAGCGACGAAGTTCATCCCTCTATGTTAGATGTCTGTATGAAGAAAATGGACGTTTTGTGAAGTAAACGGTGGTTTTGATCTAGAGAAAGTAAGCCCTGGAGTGGGTTTATAGACACTGAGCAAACAGTGAAAGCTTTTGGCTTGAATCCCATATTGACAAATTCAAATGAAGGAAACCTCTCATGCCTATAAAATGATGCAGCCTATTCCTTTAGTTATTATACCTTCTCATTTACTTTTACAAGAGGCAGCTAGTTGGAAATTTTTTAATTAAGAGAGTACAATTAGTGTGGGTAATTAATAGAGTTTAAAATTTTAATAGGATAGTTTTTTTGCTGCGGGTTAAAATTTTAATAAAATTAAACGGGTTAAATGAGTTGTGTCGTATGACCAATTTTATTGAAGTATGACCAAATTTTTGGGGCCAATATGTCTCTTCCTTGCTTTTTTTATGTTAACACCTCATATGGTGACTTGTGATTAATTATGTTCAAAACTTTCATAGTAAAAGTATCGAATTTTATTTAACAAGTGAAAACGTAAAAAGGTTATACTCAGTACACAAAATTCGTACATATA